TTTCTTTGTTTGCTCAAGCATTCGGGGTTTCAAGAAACATCGAAATCATCCCTATAAGAGTTTGTGAGTCATTAATCATCCCAACAACAAGCTCCAAATCATTCGATTATAAGAAACATTAAAAATCATCCCTACAAGTGTTTGTGAGTCATTAATCATCCCAACAACAAGCTCTAGATCGTTCAATTGTGACCAAATCAATCCATTACTCGTTCTTATCATTTATAAGCACTCGGAAGTTCCTGGATTTGTTTAGGTTTTCTAAGTTTTGAAAAAATTCTAGAAATTATTCTCTTCGATTATTTGTTCATTCCTCAATCATAATAACAACACACACATAAGTCTCTCGATCACACGAGTCCTACACAAATCCAATACACTAGTAGTTTTCGATCACTTACAAGTTAAGGAACAATCACAATACCAACACCGAACTCCAATCATTTTTTTTATCAATCACATTCAACTTATGCTTGTTCATTATCCATTTTATTAATCTTATAGCTAAGATTATTTATGATTGAGTTGATTTTTATGTGAAGAGACATTGGGTAAGAAAGGATGAAATGAAATAGAGTAGAATGTAATAGGTGAGTAAGAATAGAGAAATAAACAAAGAAAGGAAGAAAAGAAGAGAAAGAGGAAAGAAAGAAAGAGAGAAAGGGCATGATGAAGTGTCATACCGCCAACAAATTAGATTTATTTATTTTTTACCTTACGGAACTCAACCACAAGAATATAGATAAGGCAAGCAAGGGTAGAATCCATAGAAAAACTAGTCTAATAAATGGTTTTTTTAAGCTGATTGTTCTAAAGTGTAATGGGAATAAAATGGGGGAGGGGGTTGTGTTTGTGGAGATTTGTAAGCAATCAAAAGCAAATAGAATTAACAATAATAAGAAAAAACAATCTTGATTGAAGTTTAGTATCCACTTTTGGTTTAATCGTTGATCATTGATTCAAATATTAACATACTCTTAGTATGAATATTCACCGTAAGAAAACAACATGTATGTTATCCTCAATCTTTTCTTAATGATTTGTTAACCAAACATATGCTATTTGATTAATTCCTAGCTATTGAACAACTTAGCAGATGTTAACTAGATTTAATCTAATAATAGCATTAAATAGAGAAAGATAAGTAAAGCTAAACCACCATTCTAAACACTAGAAAAATGTAATCTAGTTCTATATTTTTCAAATGATTAAATAAAAATGTATTTATTATCATTAACCTCTAGTTACTACCACATTCAAGTTTAGATAAGTAATTACATGAACTTGAATACTTAGTCGACAATACATTATGATGATTAAGAAACTGGTGTGCACTCTAATTAATTACATAATCATAACCAAATAATATAGAAAAATATAAAATACTAAAAAAGAATAAGTTTAGAATTAGAACCCGTTAAAATCTCAAAATGATTTTACCAAAAGCATAATTTTTTCTTCAATCAAGATAGATGTTTGGTGGCTTATGGCCCATTACAAGAGAGTTTTCTATTTAGGGGTGGTCGCCAAAATGGGAATCCCAAAATAAAACCCTAGCTTTACTATTTATACCTAAAAATAAGGTTATAACATACACATGTCGGTCCCATATGGTTTCTTTCAATAAGAGAAAGGTGTTTGACAAGGAGATCCATTGTCACCGTCCTTATTTATTTTGGCTCAAGATGTCCTAAGCAAAAATTTAAATTCCCAAGTGGAGAAAGGATAGATTATGCCTTATCGATCGGGATGGTTGGTTATTAATGTGAACCATCTACTTTTTATGAATGATATGCTTCTCTTCAGTAATGGATCTAAAAGTCGGTTAACAATTTGATTTGTCTCGCTAAAAAGCTATTGTGATTGTAGTGGTCGGATGGTGGATGTTTGAAAAAATGGTTTTTTTATAGTACTAAAATTTCAATAAACAGAATCGAATGATGTAGAGGTGGATAGGATTTAACCATGTCAAACCCTTATTATATACTTAGGAATTCTATTCTTTAAGGGCCAAGCTAAACCGACGAACATCAATTTAGGACATTCCATGTATATCCAGTTGGCCCTCCTTAATAGTAGGATCATTGTAATATCTCTTTATTTGGCCTTTACTCTACATGATTCGGTTTTCATATGTAGACCTTGTAATCTGTATAAAGTTTGGACTTCATCATTAATACAATATATATAATTTTCTCCCTTAAAATCTTCATGGTATCGGAGCATTCGAGTGCTCGGAACGATTGGTATAGGTGGTTTCTAGTTTGTTCTAGGCATCCGTAGATCCGGTGCAATCGTTAATAGTGGGGTCGATTGTGTTGTGGACGGTTGTTTGTATTCCCAAGCAGACTAATCGATCTTGACGAAACCGAGTAGGTATAGTTTGGATCCGTTTGTGATGGACAAGGCCGATAACCATCAATGAAACCAAGTAGTCCATAACCAAACAGAAGATTAGTCATTTGAGATTTCCAAGATGCATAATTTCCTCCACCCTTTCGAGAGCTTTAATGGAATCCGAGATGAGGCATTAAGGGATATCATATTTCCATTAAAGGGAATAATGTTACTTTGAGTCATGGTGTTTGCGACTGTGGAATTGACTCGTTGGAGATCCGGCTTTTATGGGGGATTTTGAAAGTGACTCGGGTAGAGTTGAATCTATTTTTGGCAGTGTGGACATTGAGAATAGAAGGTAGGATGTTACGGGGTTGAGAAAGAAAAAAAGAGAGAAGGAAATCTCTGTTCAATTAACGGAGATAGGCTCGATACCATAAAGATTTTAAGGGAGAAAATTGTATATATTGTATTAATGATGAAGTTCGGATTTTTTACAAATTATAAGGTCCAATAATATTTTATGTAGGTGAGGGAAGGACTAAGGACCGGGTTTGGTTTTTTTGAAGGGCTATGAACTCTCACTTCGTCCTCACTCATGTCAAACAAAAAGGAAGGGAAGTCGGTTGCTACTTACATGAATAAAATAAAAAGTATTACCGATGATGTTGCTCCCATTGGCCATCCGTTAAGTGATGCGTAAATCATGGCTTACACACTAAATGGCCTTGGTGATGAATTCAAGGAACCGACAACTGCTATACGCATTCGTGAAACTCTCATATCCTTTTGAAGATCTCCATGATAAACTTCTTGATGAGGAATTCATTCGAACCGTGAAGAATCAAATGAGGATAACTCACCGGTTATTGCTCGGCTTACACAACGTAGAAGCATCCATGGAGGCAAAGGAGGACGAGGTAATCGTGGTGGATTTAATTCCATATACATCTCGGACAACGAACTCAGACCTCTCCATTTAATAACAATCAACAAAACTACACTCGACAATAGCAACCATATGGTCGAGGGTATTACTCACAAGGTACAAACCTTAATTCAAACACTCACCATTTTTCACCCACATGGAGTTCAACTTCTTATTAAGACAACCGGAGACAACAACACATTATTTTTTAGCTATGTGATAAGCCGAGTCACAATGCAAAGATGTGTTACTCACGTGGGAGACCATCCTCTCCAGTCTCTTAACCTCAAGCTAGTCTTATCCACGAGTGATTCAAACAACAACAATTAGATTCCGGACTCGGGTGCTACCCATCATATAACATCCGACCTTCGGAATCTCTCCATGCACTCTAACTATGTGGGGAACGATGTGGTAGTTGATAACGGTAATGGAATTTCAATCTATCATGTTAGATCCTCTACTATTGATTCACCTATTACTTCATTTACACTCGATAATGTTTTATGTGCACCCTTAATAAAAAACAATCTTATCTCTCGTTTCACAATTCCGCAAACATAATAACACTTTCATTGAATTTTTTTCTAACCATTTTCTTGTAAAAGATCCGAGTACGGGGGCATCCTTGGCTCAAGGCCGGAGTAGGAACAACCCGTACGAGTGGTCATCATCAACTTCACCTACTAAAAGATCTAATCCACCATCTTCCACCTCTATCGCTCTCACATCTCAAATCCGACACCAAAGACGTGGTCACCCATCTTTACCAATTCAATGACAAATCATTGCTGAAAATCAAATTCCGAGTCTCGGAGTCTTCAAGCTCAAAAATAATATGTGATTCTTGCTTATGTAACAAAAGTCACAAGCTGGCCTTTAAAAATTCATCAATCACATGTGACAAACCTTTTCAAGTAATTTATTTAGATGTCCGGGGTCCCTCTCTAGTCATCTCTTTTGGCAATTTTCGTTATTATGTTATTTTTGTTGATTATTTCACAAAATATACATGGTTTTACCCCCTTAAATTAAAGTCCGATGTCTTTAGTATTTTTGAAAAATTTTGAAAATTAATTGAAAATTTCTTTGAAACACGGATTAAGACGAGTATACAGCGATAGTGGAGGAGAGTACCAAGCACTTGCTCCCATATTTGCCAAAAATGGTATCCAACACCTTGTTTCCCTACCATCACACTCGAACATGTAGGCTCGGTCGAACGCAAACATCGTCATATTGTAGAAACAGGACTTACACTTCTCCATCAAGCTTCTGCCCTACTCGTTTCGGTCCTACGCCTTTCAAACGACTACCTATCCGATTAATCGCATGCCAACTCCGAGTACTACATAATGATACACCTTATAATAAATTATTTGGCCATCAACCTACTTACACCTCCCTTCGAGTTTTTGGATGCCTATGTTATCCCTAGCTTAGACCCTACACTAGCCATAAGCTCAAACCACGATCTCGTCCTTGTGTGTATCTCGGTTTCTCTCTTCCCCATCATGCATTTACTTGCCTTGATATCAAATCAAACAAAATATTTATTTCTAGACATGTTGTATTTTTTGATAATATGTTTCCTTTTAAAACAAAATCATGTCCTATTCCTAACGTTATTAACCAATCCTTTTTCGATTTCCTTCTATATCTACTAGCAATAATCATGCAACTAATTTCTCTCTCACCGATAATTTCAATGATGATACAGACCCACTTGCCCAAATTAGATTTCATTGTCGTTCCTCTTGCTCCAAACATCAAAACACCAAATGTTAGTAACCACCAATCTCTTGGACAACAAGCACCGACTCACTTCACTAACCGATCCAAAGAACCAAGACCACGGGTGTCGGTCCCAGCCCACTTCACCACGTCCCATGTCCAATTCATCCACTCGATCAATCTTCTCCCACTCAACAGAAACTTCTACTTCTTCCTTTGGTGTCTCCATGATATCGCTTACTCGGGTAAGTAACTCTTCTTCCTCTACAACTCCTATTTCATCTCTAAAACAACTTGCTCCTCCTCATATGGTAACACGCTCCTAAAAAATATTCACAAACCCAAAATACCATTCTCTCTTCACACCACAACATCATCCAAGTAGCCTCCTCCAAACCGAACCTACGTCCTTCACTCAAGCCAATAAGCATTCTAATTGGCATGAGGCCATGAAGCCGGAATTCATAGCCCTCCAAAAAAACCAAACCCGGTCCTTAGTCCCTCCCTCACCTACACAAAATATTATTGGGTGTAAATGGGTATATCAAGTTAAGAGCAAACCTAATGGTTCCATTGCTCGTTACAAAGCTCTGCTTGTAGCAAAAGGGTTTCATCAACAACTCGGAATTGATTTTAATGAAACGTTTAGTCCGAGTTGCGAAACCTACTACTCGTTCAACTTGTTCTCGGTATAGCAGTCTCCGGTGGTTGGGTGTTGAATCAATTGGATGTTAACAATGCCTTCTTACATGGTACTCTCACCGACCATGTCTTTATGCAACGAACCTCGGGGATTTGTTGATCCTCTCTATCCAAATCATGTCCGTAAATTGAACAAAGCACTTTATGGGCTTCGTCAAGCTCCTCGAGCATGGTACACCGAGCTTCGATCTTACCTTCTTGCTAATGGATTTCTCAACTCCAAGAGTGACACCTCCTTATTTATCCACAAATCACGAGCATGTCACCATGTACCTTCTTGTGTACGTGGATGACATTATTCTCACGGGTAATAACTCTCATGCCACTAGCAACTTCACTACTCAACTCGTCCGACCGTTTCTCCCTTAAAGATCTTGGGAAGCTAAGCTATTTTCTAGGTGTTGAAACAACTCGTTCCACCAATGGTTTATTCTTGTCCTAAAGGAAATATATAATAGACATCCTTCACAAGACCAATATGCATGAAGCTAAGACAGTCGAGCACTCCTCTATCCTCATCGGAAACTCTCAAGCTTGATGATGGATCTCCCTCTCATGATTCAACCGAGTATCGATAGGTTTTAGGGTCTCTTAAATATCTCTCCCTTACACGGCTCGATATTACATTTGCGAGTCATGCATCGTCCTTCTTCCACTCATTGGAATGCGAGTTAAACGAGTTCTTCGCTACTTGAAAGGTACAACTCACTATGACATTTTCTTGTCTAGTCACTCCACTCCATCTCTCGCATGCATTTGCGGATGCCGATTGGGCTAGTGATGTCGATACTCGCCACTCTACATCGGCATATGTGGTTTTCTATGGCTCTAATCCTATCGGTTACAACTCTAAGAAACAATCCACTGTTGCTCATTCCTCAACGGAGGCGAGTATAGAGTCGTTGCATCTACTACGGATGAAGTCAATTGGTCGACTAATCTTTTATAAGAACTTGGTGTTTCGATCTCATCTCCACCAACAATCTATTGTGACAATATTAGTGCAACTTACCTCTCGCTCTAATCCCGTTTTCCACTCACGCATGATGCACATCGCCCTTGATTTTGATTTTGTTCATGATCGGGTTGCTCGCAAACTCATTTGAGTCACTCATGTTCATATCATTGATCAACTTACCGATTCATTAACTAAGCCTCTTGCAAAGCTGCAATTTCAGCTGCACCCTTCCCGGACCTTTGCACTTGCGGAGGCATGACAAAACATTAATTTAGGACATTCCATGTATATCCAGTTGACCCTCCTTAATAATAGGATCATTGTAATATCTCTTTATTTGGCCTTTACTCTGCATGATTCGGTTTCCATATGCAAACCTTGTAATATGTATAAAATTTAAACTTTTATCATTAATACAATATATACAATTTTCTCTCTTAAAATCTTCATAAATTGTCATATTTTCAGCCATTAGAAGAAAAAATCAATAGTAAGCTAGCAGGATAGAAAGGGAAGCTGCTTTCAACAGGAGGTAAGTTAACTCGATTCAATCTGTGCTTGTATTGATTCCTATCTATACAATGATAGTGATGTCGAGCTCAAAGAAAAATTATTTCATGTATCTAAAATAGGATTGTGAATTTTTTTCTAAAGTAATGGAGAAGAAAAAAGGCATCACCTGGATCAACTAGGAAACTATTGGCAAACCTTATGATGAAGGAGGCCTAGGAGTTAAGAACTTACATGAAGTACTTCGGGTGATGAAAGGAAAATTGATATGGGCTTACTTACAAGGATCCTCTCTTTAGGTCTGCTTTGTTACATCAAAATATGGCACATCGAATGCTATATTCCAATAGAAAGAAAGGGCTCTATTATGTGGAAGGGCATTTTTCCTCACATCTCTTTCCTTGGAGAAAATTTGAAATGGTTAATAGGAGATAGAGCCGTAACTCTTGAAAAATAGCATGTCTCTAGGGAGGATTTAGGACAATGGGCGGACTATACGAGTGAGAGAAATCATGAACAATAGGAATGCGCAGGATGACCTAACTAGTTCGAGTGAGGAATTCCATGTGAGCCATTTATATTTAACCAAATGAGAGGGATAGACTAATTTACAAACACTTATCAAATGGCAGCTTTAGAATAGCTAAGTTTATAGAACACATAAGACTTACGAGTACATATTTTTCTATTGTGGAAGCAAGTCTAGAACAAATAGATTTCGATGAAACTATCTATCATGTCTTAAAAATGATCAAAAGGAGAGTGATAGTTGATAGTATGATCAAGAGATGTGGGATCGCCTTACCTTCTACTCATCATCTGCTACAGCAGCCTTTCCATAGAAAATTTAAAGCACTTGTTTATGGAAGGGTTAGCAACAAGATTGGTATGGGAGCACTTTGCTATTATATTAAACACGATTCCAATGAGAAACGAGTATAGGAGCACTTGGTTTCTTCTTGGTTAGGATTAATGGGTCCTCTTAATAAAAAAATGTTTCAACAAAATGGTGATTTTCCATTACCGCATTTGGGAGATTTGGAATGCTAGAAATAGAGTGTTTTTTGATGGTGTTACAATGCACACGCCTACCATAATCTTAAAAGTCACAAAATGATTACATAGCTTTAACCTTTTTTCAAACCAAAAACCACACTAAACTTTCATGACCAGCTATGTATTCGAGTTTAAGGCATCCCTCCGAGTGCTTCTATATCGTCAAGGGGAAAGTGAATTGCATGGATCCCCCTTCCAATTCACACCTACAAATTAAACTCGTGATGGCTCATTGAGAGAAGGATTATGTTAAGGAGGCGAGTGTGGTAAGAGACCGATGGGGAAAGCTACCGATAGGTTACTCATCCATATATGGAGCATGAACGAGCTTAAATGGTGAAGTTTTTGCTTTGTTGGAGGGATTGAAGTTATGCAAAGATAGGAATATTGAGGTTGATATTATGGAGGTCGACTCAAAAATTCGATGGAATCAATAGCAAGTTTTCAAGCAAGTCCATAGAGGTTGACATATTCCCTTCGCGGATGTAAGTATCCGATGGGGGAATGAAAGATTGTGCATATATTTAAGGAGGGGAATGAGGTAGTAGAAAGCTTGGCAAGCCAAGCATATTCCCATCGAAACTAAGTTTTGTATGAGGAAGAATCCTCAACTCCTGTATTTGTGTGAGCTACATTAAGGGAGGACGATTAGGATACCAAAATTTCTACAACACTAGTTAATTCGGACTTTAGTAGCGAGAGGTCTAAAGAAGGCACAAGGAAGGTTTAAATAAGCCATGCATGGGACTAGTTGAGTGTTGTTTGTACATGCTATTTACGTGAGTAGTACATCACTCCTTAGCTTTTATTGAATTAATAGATATTATTGTAATTTAGTTGATTTTAAGTTCATCGGTTTACAAGTATGGCACTTTTAGTTCATTAAGGGTATACGTTTTTTTGTCCTCCCATTTAATGGGCTAAGTTTGGATTGTCCCCTCCTTGTTTTTCAATTATTTATAATCAATAGATTTACCAAGATACCACCACTTGTTTCTAAAAAAAAAAAAAGAATATTCACATTTGGGATAGGTTAATAATTGAATCAATTTTCAGCAACCAAACCAAAAGTGGATACTAAAATTCAACCAAGATTCACCTAATATTATTATTTTGATTTATTTTAATTACTCACAAACACCTCAAACACAAACCCCCTATTTACCGATTTTGCACTACAAGAACAATTAGACAATAAAAATTGTTAATTAGGCTACTTCCTTGTGTGTTCGACCCTTATTTGCTCTGTCTACACCCTTGAGATTAGGTTACGTGAGGAAATATAAATTACTAATTTATTGATAGAACGACACGCCATAAAAAAAAAGGGTTACCTTCGACCCAATACAAGCTTGGCCCGATAGGTCAAAAGCCCAATGGACCTAAAGGGCTCGATAACCCTTTTTTAGATTTTTTTTTACCCACGAGAATCATGCTTGATTTTATATATATTCTTTTTATTTTCATGCCTAATTTAAATTTAATTTCTTTGAACTATTGATTTATTTATTTAATCAAAATATTTAATTATGTAGGTTTTTTTTTTTTAAGAATTGGAATAGATAATTAATCGATGAACGAATCGTTGAGTCTTTTAATTTTTAGGGACTAATGAAGATTCCTCACCAATCACCAATAACCAAAAAAATAAAAATAACAACAAAGCAATAAAAATAATAGGTAAAAAAATCATAAAAATAGAGATAAAAAAAGAAGGAAAAATGCCAAAAAAAAGAAAGAAAAAAATCCTAGGTAAATAATAATAAAAAAATGAAATAGAAATAATGAGAAATATTAATAAAGTCTCTTATCTAATAGGGACTGATATTAGCCAAATAAATCACTTTAGTAATTAGGTTGTTCTCTAACATACCGATTATATCGAGAATTAAACTAGATCCGATGTTGAACTAGTATGATGCCCTATAAAGGAGTTCGATGATTAGTTCAATATGATGCTATAAACAAAAAATTATAAAAAAAAAAATTTGACTTAAGAAATA